GGAAGAAAGCCGAGAGAAGCCAACCGGCGGCTAATCCTCTAGACTCAAGCTTTGTCTCCCGTGGTAAGGGGAAGGCGCCTGCAGCAGTTGTTGATGTTAATCAAACGTTGCAACAACAACCCCGAAGATAGCAAAAGACTTCGGATCCGAGACTCCAAAAGGAGTACTCCTTCAAAGACGAAGATGTTCTAGCCATTTTCGAGTCCTTCCTTGAAAATAACAAGATCAAGTTACCACCTATCGCAGATAAGGAGGAAGCTGACAATATTTTGGATCTAAAGTACTGTGTGTACCACAGGAGGATCATTCATCCTACCAAAGCTTGCTTCGCTCTCAAGAATAGCATCCAAACATTCGTTGAAGCCGGCATCATAACACTCAATTAAGTCGAATGAGGACTCCGACAAGTATAAGAGTATAAACTGCTTCTTCCGACACTCCGAAGAGTATACGAGTATAAACTGCTTCTCAATACTCCAACAGGTATACGAGTCTAAACTGTTTCCTTCCTTTTACGGGAAGTTCCTGGAAGAATATAGTATGTGATATTCTTAATGATAACCCGACCATTCAGCTGAGTACAATGTTAGACCCAATTTCATAAAGAAAGCTGGGGGTGGATATAATGGAAAGTTCTCGGAAGAATGTTACATATAATATTCTTAGGGATAACCCGGTCACTACAAGAAGGCGATGAATAAGAAACTCTCACACAAACTCCCGCTACGTCGGTGCACTCAACACCCCCATTTTTAGAGTCCGGACATAGTACTCGGAATTTTAGTCTCCTGATCATTGACAATTGTCAAACCCTTTCGTATTAAGTATTTGTCACTTAACACCAAGGATTCTCTTCGAGTGATTTGTACGAATCAACACTCCCATTATAATTTGTACTCCCATTCTCACTGTTCATTTGGTCAAACCTTCCTATAGTTAGAATCACAACCAAAGCCAAAATCTCCTCTCGATTCCTTCCATGAATGGAAGGTCCACTTTCAAATCGAATGATCAAACCCTCCTACAGTTAGGATCACCTCAAACTCCTGCTTGGTCAAACATTCCTAGAGTTAGGGCCAAAACCATAATTCACTCTCGATAAACGAGAAATTTACCTTTAGTTCGGTAATCAAACATTTCGACAGTTAGGATTATCCGAATCTTTTTGATTCTCGGAGTGTAGATCCCACTCTTAGTTTCACTCTTCAGATTCTCGAGGTGGAAATCCCATTTCGAGTCTCCTTTGCAACCGAAGATAGAATATAAAATTCTTTCTCTTTGCTTTTGAGAGATAGAATATAAAATTCTTCCTCTCCTATTTTGGGTTCGTCTTTGCCCCCAAGAGAAGACACCATCCTTTAACTCCAAAATCCGTACTTCACAATTCAACCAAAATCAGAAGGATCAGCAAGAAAGAATACTGTTTGGATTAAGGAAACCACTATAATAAGAATACAACATGCTGAACACCAATTCCACACTAAGAAATTTCGCTTGGATTAGTCTTTCTTCTAGAAACTAAGCTAGGCCAATTAAGACTATTATAGTTAGCATCAAATTTGTGAAAAATGAAAGTGGACAAGTCTGCAAAATAATATCAAAAGTGCTGGGACAAGAACCAGAAAGAACACTAGAACAAATGGGTTGGCCTCGATTCAAACCCAAAAATAACCGGATGAAAAAGACGCTTTTTTCTCATTGCAATAAAGAAAAAAAGACCTCTCCCCAAAACCATGTTTGCATTTTCATTGTAAACGAATTTCCCTATGCATACATTTAAAATTAAAGGGGGTTTTGCATTCATACCCCTCAAATCTTTTATAATTGCAAACTTACCACCCAAATCTTATTTTTGCAAAATTTCCCTTCAAATCTCTCAGATTGGATAAGAATACCCCTCTCATTAAATCTAGACGGTCGATGACTTCGTCAAGCGCTTCCGGAATAAGGCGATGAACTGCCGAGATCCGATCACAGATGACTTTATCCTCCAAACCTGTCATAATAACCTCTCTTTGGACGTGTTGGAAGTTATGGGAGTAGCACCGTCCAGTACCTGGAAAGAGTTGAAAGTGCGCGGAGAGCAAGCCGAGCGCTTCCTCAGAAGGAAGAAAGCCGAGAGAAGCCAACCGGCGGCTAATCCTCTAGACTCAAGCTTTGTCTCCCGTGGTAAGGGGAAGGCGCCTGCAGCAGTTGTTGATGTTAATCAAACGTTGCAACAACAACCCCGAAGATAGCAAAAGACTTCGGATCCGAGACTCCAAAAGGAGTACTCCTTCAAAGACGAAGATGTTCTAGCCATTTTCGAGTCCTTCCTTGAAAATAACAAGATCAAGTTACCACCTATCGCAGATAAGGAGGAAGCTGACAATATTTTGGATCTAAAGTACTGTGTGTACCACAGGAGGATCATTCATCCTACCAAAGCTTGCTTCGCTCTCAAGAATAGCATCCAAACATTCGTTGAAGCCGGCATCATAACACTCAATTAAGTCGAATGAGGACTCCGACAAGTATAAGAGTATAAACTGCTTCTTCCGACACTCCGAAGAGTATACGAGTATAAACTGCTTCTCAATACTCCAACAGGTATACGAGTCTAAACTGTTTCCTTCCTTTTACGGGAAGTTCCTGGAAGAATATAGTATGTGATATTCTTAATGATAACCCGACCATTCAGCTGAGTACAATGTTAGACCCAATTTCATAAAGAAAGCTGGGGGTGGATATAATGGAAAGTTCTCGGAAGAATGTTACATATAATATTCTTAGGGATAACCCGGTCACTACAAGAAGGCGATGAATAAGAAACTCTCACACAAACTCCCGCTACGTCGGTGCACTCAACACCCCCATTTTTAGAGTCCGGACATAGTACTCGGAATTTTAGTCTCCTGATCATTGACAATTGTCAAACCCTTTCGTATTAAGTATTTGTCACTTAACACCAAGGATTCTCTTCGAGTGATTTGTACGAATCAACACTCCCATTATAATTTGTACTCCCATTCTCACTGTTCATTTGGTCAAACCTTCCTATAGTTAGAATCACAACCAAAGCCAAAATCTCCTCTCGATTCCTTCCATGAATGGAAGGTCCACTTTCAAATCGAATGATCAAACCCTCCTACAGTTAGGGTCACCTCAAACTCCTGCTTGGTCAAACATTCCTAGAGTTAGGGCCAAAACCATAATTCACTCTCGATAAACGAGAAATTTACCTTTAGTTCGGTAATCAAACATTTCGACAGTTAGGATTATCCGAATCTTTTTGATTCTCGGAGTGTAGATCCCACTCTTAGTTTCACTCTTCAGATTCTCGAGGTGGAAATCCCATTTCGAGTCTCCTTTGCAACCGAAGATAGAATATAAAATTCTTTCTCTTTGCTTTTGAGAGATAGAATATAAAATTCTTCCTCTCCTATTTTGGGTTCGTCTTTGCCCCCAAGAGAAGACACCATCCTTTAACTCCAAAATCCGTACTTCACAATTCAACCAAAATCAGAAGGATCAGCAAGAAAGAATACTGTTTGGATTAAGGAAACCACTATAATAAGAATACAACATGCTGAACACCAATTCCACACTAAGAAATTTCGCTTGGATTAGTCTTTCTTCTAGAAACTAAGCTAGGCCAATTAAGACTATTATAGTTAGCATCAAATTTGTGAAAAATGAAAGTGGACAAGTCTGCAAAATAATATCAAAAGTGCTGGGACAAGAACCAGAAAGAACACTAGAACAAATGGGTTGGCCTCGATTCAAACCCAAAAATAACCGGATGAAAAAGACGCTTTTTTCTCATTGCAATAAAGAAAAAAAGACCTCTCCCCAAAACCATGTTTGCATTTTCATTGTAAACGAATTTCCCTATGCATACATTTAAAATTAAAGGGGGTTTTGCATTCATACCCCTCAAATCTTTTATAATTGCAAACTTACCACCCAAATCTTATTTTTGCAAAATTTCCCTTCAAATCTCTCAGATTGGATAAGAATACCCCTCTCATTAAATCTCGAACAAAAATACCCTCTACTTCTTTCTTCCCCGCTTTCATCCATATTTCCTCTCTCTCACCTTAGCACACCCTCCAACAACTTCCTCCCTCGAGCTGTCGGAAGTGAATCCCCCCACCACCCCCCCACACCGTACGCCCACCCAGCCACCCCCAAACAAAAAAACATCACTCTCTCACTTATCCTATAGAATCAACAAGAAGTCAAAATATTAAAGCATTGATTATAGGAAGCTAAGAAAGCTAATCATTGATTATAGGCAACTAACAAAATCCAATGAATCATAAGCATGCAATATTGTGCCTGGGACAGTTAAAATTTAAGACGATCTGTGACTAATTTCATGTTTAGGGGTTGTTTGGTTCGTTTCCTATATATATAGGGAAATACATTTCTATGTACAAAAACACAAGTTTTGAGTTTTCCAAACTTTTCCAAGAAATAGATTGTTTTGCTTTGGTTAGTACAAAAAAATGGTGGGAAACCAATGTATTTATTTTTCTTTGTGTTTGGCTCGCATGGGGAAAAAAAAAACTTTTGTTGATATGACATTTCCCACTTTTCTTGTGTTTGGTTGGTTTTAAAGTTTGTAGTAAAAAGTGTTTATAGTCACCATGGTAAGATTACCCCACATCGTATAAGCCATCAATGTCAATACTCACAAATATTCAAGCATGGACTTAAAACTAAAGATATTCTTACTGAAACATCAAACATTGATTATAAGGACAAATTTTCAAAATCATCCCTTTTTAAAATTTATTTATAAAAAACGACCTATTTTAATATTAATTACAAAAACAGACCCAGTTGGATGAAACTGGGTCTGTTTTTAAAAAAAAATTTCAAACTTCACGGGAGTTAAACTCCCGTGAAGTTTTGTTATGAGAAAAAACTTCACGGGAGTTCAACTCCCGTGAAGTTTGAAATTTTTTTTTTTCAAAAACAGACCCAATTTCATCCAACTGGGCATGTTTTTGTAATTAAAGTTGAAAAAGGTCTATTTTTGAGAATAAATTTCAAAACCGGATGGTTTTGAAAATTTGTCCTTGATTATAAATATTCACAATAGACAATACACATGATTCTATAAGAATATCAAGGCTTCAACTTCAAATGCAAATAAATCAACTAACATATGTAACCTAACTTGAACAGTATTTGCTCCAAGCAGAATGAATTCAGTAGCATCGCCACCAGTCTCAACTCCCCCGATGCCAGAAAGTGATAAGTTGTTACCATCAAATTCTGATTTCATCATTTTCGCAATTTGCATAACTTTGCCAAGGGCAATAGGATGGATTTCCTTTGAAGAATATCCCCCCAGGAGTGGAGAACCTGCATAATAAAATAATTAGTTACAAATTAAAATATCCTAAGAAACCAATACTGCTTACTATGTTATTGAGTTGCGTCAACTCACCCTTCAACACAAGGTTCAGGACGTAATGTATTCAAATCAATACCCATGTTATTGAGTTGCGTCAACTCACCCTTCAACACAAGGTTCAGGACGTAATGTATTCAAATCAATACCCATTACACTCAAAATTGTGTTAATGGCTGTCAACACAAGGTTCAGGACGTAATGTATTCAAATCAATACCCATTACACTCAAAATTGTGTTAATGGCTGTAATTCCTTCACATCCTGATTTCAAAGCCACTCTAGTCTATTCTTCTCTAAAGTCTTCTATGTATGCTTTAACCAAATTAACACCAATTACTGAAGAATTTTTGTCAATGCTTGAGAATTTCAATTGAACAGATTAAGGTCAGAATATGCAACAAGTAAAAAATTCAACATCACCATGCCTTTTTCTATCAACCAAATTAAATGATACATGAGATGCTCATATGAAGTGCACAAGATACAAGGGACTAACCTGTGTAATATCTGTTATATTTGGAGTCATCTTAGCCCAAACAGATACAGTGGCTTTCTCGTTTATCCCCCCACATACCTCCTCTAACAATGCGTAGTCTTGCCCAACTGCAGCACCCATCAAACAACCTTTTTCAATCAATGGAGCATTAAAGTGACATTTTTAAAGTTTAGGAGGTAATTAGTATATTTATTAGTAAAAAACTGGATATTTAACTTCAATTCTTAAGCTTCAAGCAAAGGACTTCAAGTGTAACCGCTCATCAAACAACCTTTTTCAATCAATGGAGCATAACTCTAAGGTAAGTAGGAGAAAGGAAGCATCGACCATGCAATCGAAGATCTGAAGGAAGCTTCGTTGTCCTGGAATTTCTATTCAGATGAAACTTTGGCTTCAAAATGAACCTGTAAATGTTTTTTTTTTAAATTTGAATGCTACAAAAGATATGGTTCCATGTAAAGATTAGGTACCAATTCAAGAATACTCACGCTTTTCCTGCAAAATGACAAGGATGTCATCAATATGTATAGTTTCACAGACCAAAGAATAACCAAAGTTGCACAAGAAGTGAACCAAGTTTCTACAAACCTACAATATGTGTCATCAATATTCTTAATCGAACAAATGATGACTGCATTGTCAACAAGATCTCTCATCAACCCAATTAAATAATTCTGAAAAGATTAAATTTTAATTTAAAAAAACACCTGAGAAGTCAAGCTATCAGCCCCACTTTCTAAAGAAAGTGTTTATCTTGAACTTGTCCATCTTGTACCCGAGAAGTCAAAAACACCATATGATTGAAGTAAAAGAAATAAACGTGAAACAAAAAGCCTAATTCCACATGATTGAACTAAAATATAATATACAAAAAAGATTTTTACCTGCAAGACAACGGCCGTAGAGGACAAAGCCAACACATACCAAAACCTGAACATGCTCACAACACTTACACAACATGGCTCACAACCAGTCTACAAAACATTGCAAACCAACCTGAACACAACCAACATACAAAAAATAACCAAACTGAACACAAAACCAACAAAACCACAACAGCTCGCTCGCTCGACAATACTTTTAAACCGAACTGATTATGCTATTAAATGCATTTCCCTATATCTGCGCAGTGCAATTGGATGACAATTCAACTTCGTTTTAATTTCTTTTAGATTGTTCAGAATTTTAATTTATAAATGGTTAGGCAGCACTCCAATACAGCCAAAGAAAGATATTACGAACAGAATAACTCCAATACCAATGAACAAGTAGATGAACCTGCAAGACATCAACCAGTTGGTAAATGAACTACCTCTGCGAACTTGAAACAGAAGAACAAAATGCAACAAGCTAGTACAGGTGATATTTTAGGCAGCATATACCATATAGATTCATAAAATAAACAAGATCCGGAAAAGTATTTGAAATCATGAGTAATACTATATTTCAACAATTTTATATGTAAACTCACGGAGAAAATAATCAGATGGTGGAAAATAATCTCTTTTAGGACCATAATAAACATAAAAGTTTTCTTTCACCCCAGAGTGCCCTTCTTCACTCCTACAGTAAGCACGCAGCAAACTACTTTAAAAGTTGGAATGTCACACAAGCTACAGGGTCAACTCCTCTGCAGAGCTTAACAGTTTCTTGGATGCAGCAATATGGTTCTCAGTCATGGGCCTCCCTTTTCTGATTGTCGTAGAGTTCATTCAAGTCACTATAAAAATTAGATAATTGTATTTGGAAAATCCTAACTGTTGATGTGTGTAGCAACCATTTCCTACCGGTAGGAAGAGCATAGTGCAAGAGTACCAATCCAATCGAATGCAGGAAAATAGCTGAAAAGGCACATTTTTAAGTCAACTAGTAACATGCTTGCACAGACTTTTAACCTGGAACAAGATTCTTTTTTTGGGCAATAAGCATAGGGTAGGGTTGTGCATGGTTCGGTCCAAACCGAAAAAATGACTGAACCGACCCGAAATTAGCAGTTCAGGTCGGTTTTGTTTATAGGTCTGTTTGGGTCGGGTTGAAAACTTTTCAACCTGAACGGCCCGAACCGACCGCAACTAATAACCTTTTAATTTTTAACACGTACTCATTAGAAACCCGATCCGTTCCCTCAAATCTCAAGTTCTTAACCTAAACCCTAAATCCAACCGCACTTCCTCTTCCTCAGTTCCTCTCTCACTCTTTGTCCGCCGCACTCTGCAGTTCCGCCTTCCGCGCTCGGCACTCCGCATCCCCCCCCAGCCGCACTTCCTCTCTCTCTGTCTGCACTCCGCAGATCCGCACTAGGCACTCCGCTGTCAGCTGCCAACTGCACTTCCTCTCTCTCACTCACCGTCGTCGCCTCTAACTCGCCGCCTCGTTACTGACTCAAATTTCCTTCAGCCACTGACTCAAATTTCATCATCGTCTTCATGGCTGAGGCCGAACCATCTCCTTAGGATCCATCTCCGGCTTTGGGGACATACGCACCTGTAGTGAAGGTATAAACTAAAAACCCTAATTTTGAATCTATGCTAATCTTCTTCATTTCATTGAAAATTACATGTACAAGATCAATACTGGCAGTTCTTCATACACACTAAAAATTATCTGGATATGATTTTTTAGATTTACACTCTGTAAACTGGTTATTCTTCATACACACTGATGGTGATATTTTCAATTTTAAGTGATAACTTTTATTTTTTAGATTTCCAGTTGTCTATGTGGTTGTTTTCATAAAAGTTGTTGGATTCATACAATATATTAGAAGTGGTGTACATTGCTAGAAGTTGTGGATTCATACTTTATATTTGTAGCAGCAAGATTGATGCAATTTCAGTTTTAGGAACAAGATTGTATATTATAAGTGGTACATAATATCTTGTATCAATTTTAGTTTTAGAAACAAGACTGACACGATTTCAGTTTTAGAAAAAAGATTATATATTGTAAGTGGTGTACCTTGATGAATGTTGTGATTTGTATTTGGTATTTTTGTTGAAGTGTACATAATTGGCTCCAAAGCAAAATCGTTGTGATCCTCATAGCAGTTGGGCAAGTAAATAATCAGTAAGTAAATAATCGGTGAAATCATTCAACAATTAGGTGTACGTACCGCTTGAATTAGGCCACTGTTTGTAATTCAAGTTGTATATTGAAAGTGATATTCTCACCACTGGTTTTTTTATACAAAATTCTAATGAAGTTTTGCAATACCAAACTGAGGAATTGTCGCGCGCCTATGCGGAAGCGTTGCACGCACACACAACGAACTTGTGATCACGGAAGAAGAAAGTCACACTCTTACACAAATCAAGCCAATTACGACAAATCAAACCAAACACAGAGATATACGTGGTTCGGCAACTTGCCTACGTCCACGGGGAGAGGATGTGGAGATTTCACTAATTCAAGGAGAGTACAAAGGATTACAAAACTCTCAAACTAACCCTCAACCAAAGATCTCACATTGCTCACAATATCTCCCTCTCACAATGCTCAAAAGATTCCTCAATCTCTGATAAAAAACCCTAACAAATCGTTTTCCTATTTATATCAAAACAAAAACCCAATCAGACTACAAACAGGAAACTTGATTATGCAAAAAACCCATCGTAAGTCGACTTAACAGACAGCATAAGTCGACTTGGCAGAGAGAAAAAACAGCATCTGGAGACCACTTCATAAGTCGACTTATCAGGCCTGATAAGTCGACTTGGCAGAGAGAAAAAAACACAACTCCAGTGCAGATCGTAAGTCGACTTGTGCACACTGACAAGTCGACTTACCATAAGTCAACTTAGCCTTGTGCATGAGTCGACTTATGCCAGAAAATCTGGTTTTTCTGATTTCTCCACAGTTCTCCACCTCGGCGAATTTTGCCAAAAATGAGCCGACACCAAACCAAGAGCATCAATGTGTCGTCTCTCCAAATACGGCTGCACCACCATGGTTGCCTACGTACCCCCTCTCCCAAGGGATCAAGCCGCCCGTAGTTCATCCAAATGGCCGCTAACGGCCTCAACAATCACAAATATTCAACAAGTTTCTGCAATGATCAAACTTGTTGCTCGGAACCACCTTTGTGAGCATATCCGCCGGATTATCCTTCGTGTGGACCTTCACAATCTCCACATCGCCATCTTCAAGAACATCTCGAACGAAGTGATAACGAACATCAATGTGCTTCGTCCGCGCATGAAAAACCTGATTATTCATCAAATAGATAGCACTCATGCTATCACAATGAATAATGACGGACCTCTGCGATATACCAAGTTCCTCCAAAAATCCTCGAAGCCAAATAGCCTCCTTCACAGCCTCCGTAACTGCCATATACTCTGCCTCCGTCGTAGACAAAGCCACCGTAGACTGTAAAGTGCATCTCTAACACACCGGCGCACAGGTCAAAGTGAACACATACCCCGTCATAGACCGGCGCTTATCCAAATCCCC